CTGCTGAGGACAGAGCGTTACAGGTGCAGCGTGGTGGTTCTGGGTCATAGTGGAAAGGCATAATATGTGTCGTGATTTTTGTGGTTTGCAGCCGTGGATCTATAATAACCTGGAGTTTGGGATTGACCTGGATACCCGTGTCGCTCTCGTTGGACCGAATGGAGCTGGAAAGTCAACACTGCTGAAACTGCTCACGGGAGAGGTATGCTCCCTGCATTGTCTGCTCTGTTCTGGACCTTTATTCTTGGGGTAGTCTTCAACTAAGCTGCTTTTATTTGCCTTAGCACCCCAATCAGGCCTTGGAAATCCTAAGGTCTTGTTGCAATATAGAGCTTTTTCTCTCATGTTGTCTGTTCAGGCTGCCTCCTCTGTGCCAGAGCGGAGATGGCTGGATTCTGTATTTCTGGCATACAGCACAAGGAGGGATTTCCTGGTAAAATGCTTTTATCTTCCCTTTCTAGCTGCTGCCCACAGATGGGATGATTCGCAAGCACTCGCATGTGAAGATTGGTAGATACCACCAGGTACTCCCTCCAGCAGCCACCGGGGACACGAAATGCTGAGGAAAAGCTGTCAGGAATGAGCAAGCTTGCCCCTCTGTGTCTGCTGCCAAGGCCTCTCCCGCTGCTGCCCTTCTGTGCCTAGAGAGGGGGGAGGAACTGTTCAGCTGGCTGGATGGGCTCTAGCAAACGTTCTTACCCTGAAAAGAGGCTTGCTGTGCTCCTTTGGGAGAGGGGGTTGCCCTGTGCTTGGCGGTGGACACGCCTGCTGTTCTGAAGCAGCACTCCTGCTCCCGAAATGGAGACTCCTTCCCCAGTAGCTCAGCACAGCGGCTGTGCTGTGAGTGGGGTGGTTGGCTCTCGTGTTCTGCTGCCTGTCCGGTACCAGAGGGATGTGAGGGGGGAGGTCCTTTTGGCCATGAAGTGGGTGGTTTGCACAGCCTGAAGCTGGCTTTTCTTCTCTGTCAGCACTTGCAAGAGCAGTTGGATTTAGACCTCTCGCCCCTGGAGTACATGCTGAAATGCTACCCAGAGATCAAGGAGAAGGAGGAGATGAGAAAAATCATTGGCCGCTATGGTCTGACAGGGAAGCAGCAGGTAAACGCGAGCTGTTGAGGTTTGCTTTTTGCTCATCAGGGAAGTGAGAGCTGCTGCATCTTCTGTTGCTCTACCGGTGTCTGGCAATGTGATGTGGTATGTAGCATGGCACACCACAGCATCAAAATATTTTTCCAAAATATTTTTTTTTAAATTGGATTATATAAACAACCTCATGGCTCATAGGAACTTTGTTTGCATTGCAGCAGTATATGGGTTGGAATGGGTGACCCCCTCAGAATTCAGGTGAAGAGAAGACAAGTTCTGGCATAGTGCTAGGCTTGAGCATACTTTACTTGTAACTTGAACTAGTTTGCTTATCTCTTATTTCTGAGATGAATACCAGGCAGAAATGCTAGAACACGTTCTTAACCAGGAGTGGGGACTGCTTGGTTCAAACAAGAGGGGGATCACCAGTGGTGCTCAAAGCCTAAACATGGGATGCTCCTGTACGTCCCGTGTCACGTGTATGATGGGAGTTGTCCTCATCACTGCAGTTCAGCATTGATTTGTGGTTGTGTCATGCAACGAACGCTAGTCAGACCTAGGTTAACTGTCCCTTGGAACCCGTGACACAAGCTGGGTCTTGCTGCGGACACTCCTTCTTCAGAAGCCCTTGGAATTCCATTGTTCTGCTGGTGAGAGATTAGTCCACGTATAAGACTGACCAAGCTTTGTCCTCTCGTGTCCTGTAGCTGCTGGGAACACAGGGTGAGGTGTGGATAGTTTGTGGTCAGGGTGGCAGTCTGTGGGTTTCCCGGCAGAGCTGCGAGCAGGGTCTGTTTCCAGGTGAGCCCCATTCGGAACCTCTCGGACGGGCAGAAGTGCCGTGTGTGCTTTGCGTGGCTGGCCTGGCAGAACCCCCACATGCTCTTCCTGGACGAGCCCACCAACCACTTGGACATAGAAACCATCGATGCTCTGGCAGATGCGATCAATGAATTTGAAGGAGGAATGATGCTCGTCAGCCACGACTTCAGACTCATCCAACAGGTAAGAAAACTAGTGAATTTTGTCACAGCACCTTCCTAACACTTTAAGTAATTAAAACAAGGTATTTTGAGCTGATTGGCTCTTGCTCATCCCAAAAAGATGTGTGAGTGAAAAATGAACACTGGACACGATTCCCTTGTTATGTCCATGTGAAACCATTACTGAGCTAGCCTAGGAAAACCTTAGGTACTTGAAAGGAACAATAACAACAAAAAACCCCCACAAAACCAAAACTCTAGAAGTGAAGAATAAGTTAAATGGAAATCATGACACACTGTGGAGGCCTTAATGAGATTTTTAAAAATCATACCGGAGTAGTTCTAGCACAGTTTTTTTCTCTCTGTCTGCACAGGTGAAGGAACTTGCACCACATACACACTCATGTCAAGTGCTGATTTATCAGCTAGAGCTCTGTCTGCAAGTTCAGGTGTAATTTTATTTTTCAGTGTGTTATATCCCAGTAGCTCAGTTCAAGAGCTACCTTTTTTTTTCTTCTTCAATTCCCAGTTTAGCAGGAGAGGCTTTCCTTCTTAGTCCATGAACAAAAAAAAGAAACATTGAGGGGTCAAAGATTTTTACTTCTAAAATCTTGTATAAATTATGCAGACACCAGGTAAGACGTTTCACTGCAGATATCTTTCTTTGGAAGTTGAAGCGTGAAAGTTATTAAACTCTTTTCTTACCAGACTTCAGAGAGTAGATTTTGGTTGTTTTTATAATTTTGGTGAAATGATACGATGCTGTACTGTAACCCTCTCCTCCTCCTCCTCGTGCGCGTGCTTTCAGGTTGCACAGGAGATCTGGGTCTGTGAGAAGCAGACAATCACAAAGTGGCAAGGCGATATCCTCGCCTACAAGGAACATCTCAAGTCAAAGCTGGTGGATGAGGATCCGCAGCTCACCAAAAAGACCCACAACGTGTGAGCTCCGAGCGGTCAGTCGGGTGCTCTCCGTGGAGACTGACAGTGGCCAATGCGACTCGCCCATCTGCGACTGGAATGGGACTCTGCTGCTATCTCCGGCTGTGTTCTAGGATTGCTGCAATGCTGCTTCCCCTCGACTTGCCTTGCACCTCTCTATCTGGACAGATCTCTTCTCTCCTGATCTGGCTACGTTTGGGCAACGATTTTCGTATTTAGATGATGTCCCACCTGAGCCAGGCCTTGGGATCTCACGGTCCGGGGTCTCGTCAGTGGCAGCTCAGGTGTCCGAGCTGCAGGGATACAAAGTTGAGACCCCAGCCCAGCTTCTCCCGCCAGTTGCTTCCCAATTTCTGCTTCAGTTTAGATACTTCACTTCAAACTCCTGGCCTTGGTTTGTTTTTAACTATTATTTAACAGTGTAATTAACAGATCTGCCTGAGAATCCGTCAGTCAATAAAGAGGGAAGAACAGTGGTGTCTTGTCTTGTGAGCCGCAGTAGTTATTTGGGCATGCTGGGGCAAACCAGCTTGGAGCAGGGATGCAGAGCTCCTTCTGCTGGGCTGAGGGCTCGGTTCTTCCACGCTGCCAAAGTCATGACCAGAACCTGGGGGTACAGGAAGGGGTGAGTACTGAGCTCTGGAGACACAGCAGTGAGCAGGATCCTCACCCCTGCGAAGCCGCTGCCAATCTGGAGTGAACACGGGGTGTTCCCCTTGGTGACAGAGAGGGGAGCAAGCCAGGCGTGCTTGTCTTGGTGTTGACAGATACAGCCTGGAAGGGTTCTGGAGACGAAGTTAGAGGCAGAACATAGATCTATAAAATGCCAGTGTGTGTTCTTTACAGCAGAGTGGCTTGGGTGTATGCTTTTTCCTTCACCTGGAATTGTATGGGTCTAACAAAGAGACTCAATAATTCAGGATTTTTGGACTAGAATTATATTTGTTCCTTGCAGATTTAACTAAACAAGACTAATCAACTGAAGTTAGCTTGTTTGGTCTTAATAACAACATTTTAGAAAAGTTGGTGTTTAAACCTTAACCTGCGCCACAGAAGCTTGAATAAAATAAGAGTTTTCATGTGTTTTTAAAACAATTAAAAGGTACTAAAGAAGAAGGTAGCAAATCAAACCAGATAGCTGCTTATGGTCATCAGTTATCATCTTAATTCTGACTCATGAGAATGGCTGCACTGGTCCTGTGAAAGGTTCACGTAGCCCAGTAACCTGTCCCGATGGTACCTGTTGGCAGGCGAATTGAAGAACAGGACAAATAGGCAGCAGCTATACTTTCTCAGACACCGGCTGTCTGTGGTTCTGACCTACTGAGCAGAGTTTTTCCTCATTTTTTTTTTCCAAAGGGACCATCCAAGTTGTGGCTGCTGCTATAGAAGCACTGTGTGTCATCCCTAGGACAGATGGCACAATGCTACCGGGGCACAGTGCAGAGCATCCACATTTTTCAGTGTTTTTAGCAGTGATCTGAAAGGGAAAAAAGTATTTTCTGAGAAAATAAGGCTGTCCAAGTTAGTTCTGCGGAAAAGTCTAGATTGCATTGAAAAGTCCCTGAAATTAATATCTCGCAGTGTAGTTCTCAAAGTTAACAGTGGGACAGTGATGGAGTAAAAGCAACCCCCAGCTAAGTAATTAGTGTAATTACTGCTGGTTAGTGTCACAAAAGGTGGAACAAGAATAGATGAACGCATGCCTTTGTTCTGCACTCTAGGCTTTAAAAAGATGCTGGTGAGTTGGAAGAGGTTGCATAATAGCTGTGAGAAGGGTGAGGTGGAGATGTCCCACCTGAGGCTAGAGCCATTCATTCTGCTCTTCCTTACTCTAAGCAAAGATTGGGCAACACCTCTTATCAGAGTTCAGAGCTGTGGAGTTGAGAGCCGTGGCGGCAATAATAAACGCAAGATGTAATCTCACCTGGAGTTCTTTGGGATTGGTGAATCCCAGGAAGGGCATGGGAACACTGGGATGACAGCCGGCATGAGGGACGGGAGCTGGAAAATTCCTGCAGCTTGTGCAGCAGCACAGAGAGCTGTGCTGGCTGCTGCTGTGACACGAGAGGATCTCGGCTGCAGACCGGTCCCCGATCTGGCAAACAAGGGCCACGGGTACGTGTCCAAAGGTGGCTGTAACTGCGCTGGAGGTCACAGGCAGGAGGGCAGGATTTGTGAAATGGAAAATACATACCTGCTTTATCCATCTGCTATCTCAGCCTCGGCTCAAGCCTGTCCTGCGCTGGCGGGGGGTCAGACCGCGCTGCAGTCGGGGCAGGCATGTGTCCTGGGGGCCGGTTCCCGACAGACAGCCACGGGCTGGGGCAGGGGCGTTCTGGGCTGTTTCTGGTGCACAAAACTGAAACTATTTCCAGATAAACGATGAGAATGGCCCCTTAGCTGCTGGGGTGGTCCTTTCTGTGAAAGAAGGGGCCCAGAGCCTCTACACCATCACTCCTGCTTGTAACCTGACGGTGAGGTTGTCTCTGACCGCGGGAGCCAGCAGTGACAGGTATCAGTCCCGTGCAGGGCCGGGGGCTCCCTGCTGCTGTGCTGTGAGTCCATCCATAGGCTGCAGAAGGAGCACAAGGAGGGGGGAGCCAAGCCCAGCACACAGCTTCCAGGTGGGCAGCCTCCAGCGCCTGCATCCGGGGGAGCAGATGCTAATGGTTCAAATTTGGCCATACTGCTCAGGAGACAAGCTTCCGCCCTCGCTGTATAGCGCGTCCCTGTGCTTCATGTTGAGCGCCCCGTCACTGCTCCTTGCCCACCAAAGGTCTCCCTTCTAACTAAACGTGCTGTCAGAAAAACAAGAAAACAAAATAACTGCCGGTGCCAGACACCGCTGCAGCTGGGGAGAGATGCAAGGGCCACGAGCTCCTTGAGATGAGAGAGCCTTTGTGTGCAGTGACCAGGGGAAGAGGTGAAACGGTTCCAGCCGCAGCGATCTCAGCTGTTTGTGGCCGCGTACATCAGTGGCGGGTGGAAGGTGCAGCAGAGGGGAGCCCCGTGCTGTTCCCGCTCCGTGCAGGGTCTCACACAACAGAAGCGGCGTGTTGCCTGCTCCTGCCCCCAGCACGAGCCCGGCACTGGCGTCTCTCGGTGGTGGTAGATATCACACAACACGCCACCCCGTACTGTCACTGCCCGAGCCCCTTCCCCTTCACAAAGGCGCAGACGTGACCGTTCCACACCGTCCCACTGTCCCACTGGTGTGTCAGTGCGTGGGAGCGAGGAGCCGTTCTGTGACACCCAGACCCTGTCACTGTGACGTTGGTTTGCACTCGGGGAGGGTGACTGGGTGCCTCCCCACAAGGACAGGCATGGAATAAAACCAAATTCAGCGGAACGCTGTTGGCCATACAAGCGCTAGTGTTGCCTGAGCGGTGGGTCTCCCAGACTCAGTCCTCAGCAGATGTGATGTGCTGAGGATCCGCAGGTATAACATGTCCCTGAGCTGTGCGTGGCAGCAGGGACACCAGCATCCCCCCCACAGGCACATGCTGGTGTTATCCTTTTATGAAACGTCTGTTGGGGTGCCTGCCAAGAGAGAGGCTCCCTTCTCTACCCCAAGGACAGACAACTTCTCCTGTTTTGTTCACTTCTCTACTGTGTTGCTACACCTTTTTTTTTCCCCTGGCTTAGCTTAATTCCTGCATCATAATTGCCACCACTGGTGCGATCACAGGTTTCCAGGGTGGATCAGACACATGCTCAGGGCTCAGCCCTCCGCTGCTCCTGTCCCCTGAGCTCTGCTGCGTGCGGCGGGCAGGGACAGGGGAGGAACGCTGGCTGTCGGGGTGTGTGTAACGCTGTCGTTCAGTTGCTAGCCCAGCGTTCCCTCCGGTCACCGTGTCTCCACTGGCTGTGTTAGCTGTTTGTAGCACAGGAGGGGTTCTGCCCGTTTGATCGTGGAACCAATGCCTTGAGTGCTCCGATTTACAGCCCTCCACCCAAGCAGGACCCTCCTCTCCCCAGAACCCGGGATGGACAGAGCTGGGAACAGCTCTTCTCTGTCACCGCTGCCCCGCACCCGTGCAGCACTGCTGCTCTCGCCCCTTCTTGCCCGTGTTACCCTCAAACTTTTTCCCAGGTGTGAAGGTTTAATTCAATCAGCTCCTTCAATCAGTCCTCTCGGGCCAGCTGCCCTGCAGGTACCGCAGCGGGACCATCAGCTGCAGCTGTGTGCTCGTCCGGCTGCCGGGTGGCTGCAAAGCTCCTGCCGTTGCCATATCCCCCCCCCGGCCCTGGCTGCTCCCTGGGGCTGAGATGGGTGCTGATGGGGGGAAGAAGAGTGGCTGTGCTCCCTCTCCTGATGACAGGAAAGCTAAGAGGAAGCCCAAGAGAAAGGAAACCTACTCAGTCTATATCTACAAAGTACTGAAGCAGGTGAGGAAATATTTATTTTCTGCTGGAAGCTGCTTTGTGGGTGACTTCTGCCGCTGTGTGTCAACCTGATAAAGGGGAAGGAAGGAAAATCTGATTTTTAATGAGGTGGGAAGAGGGGTGTGTGGGTGCAGGAGGGCCCTGGCTGGGTCTCAGGGGGTGTGGGGGGAAATGCGTGGGGCAGGAGATGGATCCGCATCAGGAAGTGTTTCCCAGAGAGAATGAGCTCCAGTGTGGCTCTGCCTGAAGAGATAGTTCAGCTGGAGCTGGCAGGCAAGGACAGCTGCTGCTGGCCCTGGGAGTAAATACTAACATGTTTCTGGTTATCTCTGCTGGGGAGATGAGAAGAAGAGTTCTGAGATGTGTCTGGGAGCTGTCTGAGCCTCGGTCATCCACCGGAGCCTGTGGGCAGGATGGGGAGCACAGGGCCTCCCCCCTTCGGGGCTGGTTTTCCCCAGGGATTGTGTAGAGTCTCGTGCCAGTGCCCCCCAAAGCCACTGAGGGGTCGTGGGGGCTCTGCTCGGCCTCATGCGAGTGGCACAGGACCCCAGACCCTCAGGGTGGGAGCTGTGGGTCCCTTTGGGGTCAGGGTGCTGCCATGGGGGGAGAGGGTCCCTCGCTCCCCGCAGGGTGATGGTGCCTGGTCCCCCCCCGGCAGGTACACCCCGACACTGGCATCTCCTCCAAGGCCATGAGCATCATGAACTCCTTCGTCAACGACATCTTTGAGCGGCTGGCCTCTGAGGCCTCGCGCCTGGCGCAGTACAACCACCGCTCCACCATCACCAGCCGCGAGGTGCAGACGGCCGTCCGCCTCCTGCTGCCTGGCGAGCTGGCCAAGCACGCCGTCTCCGAGGGCACCAAGGCCGTCACCAAGTACACCAGCAGCAAGTGACTGCCTGCGCCCCAATAAAGCCCCACTGCAGTCACCACGCCTCGTTTGTCATGGCGCCATGGGGTTGAGGTGGCCACCCCTCGCAGACGTGGTGGGGACTCCTTTTGGGCTGGGTGGAGGGCTCATGGGGGGCAAGCTTGATACCAACTTGGCTTTGAGCAACCTGGGCTGGCAGGAGGTGTCTCTGCCCATGGCAGAGGATGGTCTCCAAGGTCCCTTCCAACCCCAACCATTCTGCAGGATGTGCAGCCGGACTTTCTGTGGGATGGAGAGCTCGAACATCTTGGGATTGCAGTTCTGCGGCTGCCCTGGAGGTGGTTCTCTCTGACTGGTGCCAAACACTTGGCTGCTGCACGGGCAGGACGTGGGGCTGACCAGCTCTCTGCAGGCTGCCTGTGGATGGTCCAGCTTCCCCTGTGGTGCCCTGGTTCTCTCGGCCATGCCGTGTGGGTGAGGGGCTGGTTTATGATGAGGTAAGCAGCTGTCTCCTGGAAGCGTCTGGGAGAGCATTTGGCACTGGGTGAGCCCAAGAGGAGCGAGGCTCTAGTGGTGCAGGTGCCTGATTCTCCAACGCTGCGATTTGTGCATCCTGCTTCATGTCTTCCCCACCTCCTGTATCGCCCCGAAAGGCTAGAGGAATGGAGTTGGTGACTGGCCTCATATCCCTCTTGCTACATCGCTGCGTTTTCTCGCAGAGCCGGAAGGGCAGCCTGCAACCCAGGTGCACCAGACTCGATGGGCAGAAGGAGGGGGTTGCTCTTGGGATGGTGAGTTCTGCGCTGAACCTGCCTTTATGCATTTCCCAAATGGGGGCAGGTTCGTCATTCACTGCACAGGGGTCATGCTGCGTGTACATCCCCACAGAGCTGCCCTGGTGCACCTGTACCGGGTGTCACACGCAGTCGTCCCTTCCTGAGCGATCGCTCTGCACGCGGAGCACAGGTCAGCTTTTGCAAGGACGGCTCTGCAGCTCAGCCTCGTCCAGGACTCGTGGCTCCGTGCCCTGATGTGCCATGATGCTCTGGTGGATCCGGCGAGATCTGAAGGTTGCTTTGGGAGGAGGGGGTAGACTCTGCCGACCAGAAGGGATTCACAAAACATTGGTCACTGCGACCAGAGTGACCTGGGAGCACTCGGGTTACAGTAAAAAGCAAACCTTAACTCAGAGCCCATGCAGACACTCTCCTAAAGTGTTCTGGGACTGCCTGGGTCCGTGTGAGTCTCTTTCCAGGTCTGCCTGTGTCCCTGCAAGTCTCCCACTGAGCTCTTGGTGCTGCAGCACTGTCGTGTTGCATCTCTCTGGCTCCGTGTCTACATCCATCTCATTTGTTCTTGCCAAGCTACACATGCCCATGCATGAAATTAAGCAACTTCTTTTTTTTTTTTTTTTTTTTTTTTTTTTTTTTTTTTTTGCCTTGGTCCACTCTTCAAACCCCTCAAAAAGAACACTACAGGGTGACAGACTGAATCAAAGTCTTCATAAAAACACCAGTAATGCTGATGTGCTCTGTTTTCCTTTTTGCAAGAGAACAAAGACTCAAGAGTGTGTGCTCTTTTCTCTTACGGGGTGAGGGACCATGAGGCAGAGTATCTCTCTGGTCTCTGAGGGGTGCAGGTTTGAGGGGAGGGAGGTTTTGGGCAGTGGAGGCTGGCACCAGCGTGCAGACCTGTCTGCATTTCACTCCCTGTGCTGCCGTGTCCCTTGGCAGCAGCTGCTCCGGTGCATCATTAGACACTGTTCCAAACAGCACGGGCAGGGATGGTTCAGCACTCAGAGGAAAATGAGCTGGTGATGGATAGCTCTAGTGACGCCGAAGCTGTTAAAATGTGAACCTCTGAAGTGCAGCCAGGGCTCCAGCAAGGGATTCTCGTCCTGTCTGTGCTCAGGCGCTGGTGTGCGGGGACGGTGCTGGTCTGTGTCCCTGCCCTGCTCTGCTGTGGTCTGGGGTAGGCTGCTGTCTCTGAGCAATGCTAACTCCGAGTCTGTAACTCCTGGTGGCCCAGTCCCTGCCTGGAGGATGGGGGTGAGTGATGCTCAGCGGTCAGACACTCCTGTGAGCGCACGGTGCTGTCTGAGCTCTGTTATCCCTGACGCTGCCAGCGCTGTAACGGCGCTGAGGGCCCGTGGCATCCTTGGAGCTGGGTCTCTATCGATGTTCTCCCCAGCAAGGGTTGTTGCAAACAGTTTGTTTCCTTGTTTTTTCTTTCTCTTCATACTCTGTTCACTCTGGAGTCTTGGATGTAGCCAACAGTAACGCGGCTTCGCTCATCTCCCTGCTCGGGACTGTGCAGGGGGGTGGGGGAGGAACCCAGAAGTTAATTACGTGAAAAGGTAAAAGTCTTATTTGATATTAACAATGTCCAGGGACACATAACGATGGGGGTCCAAAGGCATCCTTGTGTCCTCTCCTTGTGTGGCCCTGTGTTACCTGCTGCCAAACACCGCGGGAGACGGGAAGGCCTGACCTGCTGCCTGCGAAGGTGCTTCTGGATACAGAGCTGCAGCCAGGGACTGCAAGAGCCCCGGGGGCGGCTCAGGGTGCCCCCGCTGCGGAGAAGCTGGGGACAGGACTGAGCGCTGCTCTGGGGATGGGGACAGATGGGATGGGGACGGAAGGTGTGTTCTCACCGAAGCAGCATGCGCTGGGCTGGGCTGGGGGCCGCTGCCTCGTGATCCCCTGTGTGGTCTCCGGGCGGGAGGAGGATGCTTCCGCGTGCCCCACGCAGGGTGTGGGCTGGAGAGGAGGGTGACACGGGCAGAGCGGCCCCATGAGGAATGGCTGCTGCAGGCCACACGCCGTTTTCCCATTAGCGAGTGTTTAGTTCAGCGTTTTAAATAATTGTGTCCTCGGAATGATATTTAAAATCCATTTGGGAGGCAATGAGGCGGGAAAGTGCCTGTGCCATTGTGATGACGCTGCGCGGGCGCGCCACACATGCATATTACAAACTCGTTACGGGCTCGTTTACAAGCGCGCTGCTCGCTCCCCGCACAACCTCTTCCTGATGCTCCTAATGGTTCCTCCCACCACGGCTGCTCCTGCTTGGC